TCAATAATTATTTTAAGTGCTCTTCACTTACAGCAAGCAAGGCTGTATCATCTGTATATCACAGATTGTTAATAGGTCTTCTTCCTATCCTAAAGTCACCATGACAGGCCAGAAGAACGAGCTGGTACCTGGGTACCACTATCAACTGTTCTGAAAGGCATCATACTAGAAGGTCCTAGGTAGAATTGGGGGAAATGTGGAACAAAACTCAAAATTATAAAAATGATTGGGTTTATTGGTCAGGAAGATACTGGAGGATTGTTGGAGAAACTATGGCCCCTGACCACTTTTCAGTTCTGCAACCGATCTTACCTCTTGATCTAATTTTCAGCCAAGCAATATGTACGTGTATAGGCCGAACAACAACACTAGTAAAATATGCTTACCACTTAAGTGTCAATTGTTCAAGAACAAAAGGGCAAAATTTGCCTAAGGACAAAGTTGAGAAGGAATGGAAAGAGAGGTGAAATGAAAATAAGACCTACAAGGAGAAAATGGGCACCTGTTGTTACATGGATGGGATTGCAGTCATTGAGATGAAACAAATTGTATAATTTCTTGAGTGTAAAACTGATTATCATCTCTGTGTTTCTTCAAACATTTACAATAGAAATGGTTGTTTTTAAATAAAATTAAAATTCTCTATTTTAAATAAAATTGATGTCTACAATGTGAGCTACCCAACACTCATCTGTCAGTTTGTTGTACAGTGGTAGCTTGAATGATGTTGTGATGCTGGAAGCTATGATACTGATATTTTAAATTCCAGCAGGGTCACAAATGGTGTAGAGGTTTCAGCGGAGCTTCCAGACTAAGATTAGAAGAAGTCAACTACTTCTGAATGGTTAACCACTGCAGACATTATGAATGTTGTTTTTAAATGCCCTCAAGTAGGTCCTGACTCAAAGTAACCTTTTATGGGGTTCCCAAGGAGCTGCTGGTGAATTTAAACCATTGTCCTTGTGGTTCAAAATAACCTTGTGATCCAGAGCATTATCCCACATCACCACTCCAGAACTCGAAACCTTATGAGTAGGAGCACAAAAATATCAAATGTAGTACAAGAAGTTGAAACCCTTATGAATCATAGCAGAACATTGTCAGGTACAGTGCTGGCAGAAGAGACCCTCAGGGTGAACAGCACTAAAAATACAACTGTGGAATAACTTTTTCCTCAAAATACAGTGGACCACAATGACGCAAATGTAGTAAAGCTTTTGGAAACCGTATTTGCTGATGGGGCACTTCTCAGAATGAGAAAAAAGAGTTGCAAACATCCATTCATAATCAGAACATGGAATGTATGAAGTATGAATCTAGGAAAATTTGGAGTAAAAAATAAAATGGAACACACAAAGACTGATATCCTAGGCATTAGTGAAATGCACTGGTGTTGGCCATTTTGAATCAGAAAATCATATAGTTTACCATGCTGTTGTTATTGTGAAGGCATCTCCAGTCAGTTCCAAATCATAGTGATGATGTATAGGGTTTCTGAGGAGTGGCGGTGAGCTTGAACTGCTGAACTTGCATTTCAAACTGATCTTGGAGTCCAGCACATTAACCCTCAGTGCCACAGGAGCATCACATTTTAGAGGACTGGTGTTGTATTCCTTGTCAAAAGAATATTTCAAAATCTGTTTTTATCTACAATGGTGTCT